AAACTGACACTGAGGGAGCTCAACAGAACCTTTGTTGCATAATTTGATGACAAGTCACATTAAAGAAAAGATTTAAAACTAACTAAAAAATTAATTCAATTCTTCTATTAGCCTATTATTTTCCTGGGACCAGCAATACACTGACAAGCATAGTTACCTGAGCTACATAATGGGGGCCTAACTTCAGAGATTGGAGCTAAAGAGAAGAAATAACAGGGTTTTTTTAAAAAATAGCAGGTTAACAGCAACAAGTATTTCCACTGATGAACGTTTTCACATAAGCACTAGCAGGTGAAGGAAGCTACTTCATGGAGATTAAAGCTTTGCTGCCAAATACAAGGGCTCCTGCTGCAGAACTCAGTCCCACTGCACCACAGTGTGCTCAGGACTCTGGTAAAGGGCATGGAAGACAGTTATTAGATCACGTACAAAACCCACAGTCCCTGCAAGGGCAGGATCTCATCTCCCCAAGAGAGGATACATCAGATATTAACTCACATACTATAGCTGATGTTAGCCAAAAAAATTAGTTGCACAAGATTCAGGAATGCAACACTTTTTTCTATCAAAAGCAAGAGAGAAATTTATGTTTGTGATGACGTTGCTAAACCATTAGTGAAAGGAGCATTCATGTGTTTCTCAGATGGGGCCATACAGTAAATCCAGTTTTCCCTCCTCTCCCATATCTTATTACTATGATTAATGTCATTTAAGGAACATTACATTGGACCTAGCAAGATTAGCTACGTTTTAAAGATTTCCACAGCAACCAACATTCTCCATTTATTGAGCTGATTCTGTGGCCTTTACTAGATCGCTGGCTCATACTTAATGGTGCCAGAAAGGGAGATAATAGCATTCTTAAGTACTGAATTTCACCATACAAGAACTGGAAGGCTCACCACTAAAAAGTAGCATTATCTTAAATTTGCCTTACAAGAAGGGAAGAGCAGAAGCTGTGGTTCTTCTTCCAAAGTTCCCCCACAGAAACAAAGGCAAATACAAAATTGACTGCAGTGTACGATGGAAAGACAAAACCCCTAAGATTTTGCCATCTTGTTACGGCTGGTATTTCTTGACCAGCTGTGCCCATCAAACATGCAGGAAAGCCATTCCAGGACATTTCCTTTACCTATCCCGAACCTTTTAAATGTCAGGGTTGCAGCCACAAACGCACCACCACCACGCAACAGCAAAAATTGTTTTTAAAGCTATGATGCTAAACACCAGCCTGCTTGCCAGCGACACTCCTCCGTGGAAGCTGCCCAAGTTGGTTAAGTACCACAGGCTGGGCAAATAAATGCCAAGTGTCAGACAGATGATAAATCAGAAAGGGCCGTGGAAATCTTATGCCGTTTCAGACGAGGAATGTTGTTACCCAGGAATTGTCTGTTTCTACTCAGGGGGCATGCTGACCCTGACAGAAGGGCAAGATACCTCCATCACATCATAAACCTGTGAAGCTTTTAGTGAGAGAAGCCTCAGGAGGCCACCTAGCAAAGCTGGTGGTGGTGTTCTTCCCAAGGAGGATGTCTGCAGATACAGACTGAGACTGTATATCCAGCCCTGCAAAATCTGAACCTATTCCATAGCAATCAGCCTTCACGAGCATCCTGCTCCACCCAAGCTTTCAGCATCAATAAAGCCACCTCACTCCCAGGTACTCTAGCTCCTGAGATTGTCTGAAACAGACTGTGGCCAGGAGATGGTGTTCCCAAAGACCATGCTGCACTCCATGTTTGGAGGACAGACATCTGCAGAAAAGAACTGTTTTTTAGGCTTTCCAGCAGACTCAGGAATGTGCTATCAAACAGCAATGTTCCCTCAAAAACAGGCTGAGAAGTGCACCGAAACTGCGCTGTCCCGAATAAAACAGGCAGCTTGGTCTAAACTACTTACTGATAAAGCAATGCACCACAGGTATTTAAGATGAAGTTCCACTTAGCAGCCATGCAAATCTCAACTACTAGCATGTGAGATGGATGCCGCAAAAGAGTCAGTACTTCTGTCCTCAAGGAAAAGGGGGTTTTAAGCCCTTTTATGACAGAAACATCAGTCAGCCTGAAAAGAGATTTTGATGACTAACTCTGGATTGAAGTGGGAAAACCCTTAGAGCCTTTGATCAAAACCAGAAAACTACCCAAGGGACTTCATAAAAGACTTTCTGTTAAGGAAGATTAACCAAATTTTAGCACCCAAAGAACCTAGAGGATAGGAGATTTAGGGAAAAACACCAGCAGGGAAATTGTATTAGATGAAAAACTATAAGCATCACAAATTAAAATGGCATTTTAGGATTATTTTCTGTCTTATTGGGGTTTGTTTGAGAGGAAACTTCAGAACAGGAGGCTTTATGGCAATTCTCCTCGCAGAGGTTATAGCTGCACAGAAAGGAACAACAATCTGTGGAATGCATCTATATGCAGCTTTGTCTTCCAAAATCCCAGAGAGCTGATACTGTAGGATGAATCCAACACGCAGCTTCATGACTGTATCACATGTTTCAAATGAGGGACAACGGAGTTTTGTTCACACACAGCTCTCTCAACTGCAAAGTTTCCAATACTTAGGAAAAGCAGTTACTATACGGAACACCAGAAGAGACTGCCATGGTCAGTCTCCTAATTATCTGCTATGAAATTATTTCTATCCCCCAAGCCTCGTCTTGGGGCCTTACAGCACAGAACGACAAAGGCAATCCTCAGTGCTTCTCGTGGACAGCAACGCATCATCAGCAGTGAACTCCATGGCTCAGTGACACTTGCTTGGGGCTCCACAAACCACTCTGCTTTCCCCCAAGGCCACAGGAACTGGTGCACCACTGTAAAGACATTAACAAGGACCAGCCCCTCACTGCCCACAGCCTGCCCCAGGGCACTCAAAGCGTTTTCTCAGCCCTCCATGTTTGCCTTTAATTTTAGCCTTTTTAGGATCATTGCAAACCTGACCATGGCTAAGCCTGAGCTGAAGAGCTGTTAAGAAGAGGACAATGAAAAGAAGTGATACAAAGAGAGATGCTTGGTTTTGAGATTAGCTCAAACAGTCTTTTGGAAAGCCTACAACAGCCTGAACAGAGATAATTTGTGAGGAATTGTCAGTACTGAAAAGATGATATGCCTCACCGCTATGACAGAAGCAATTCTTGCCATCACAGATTCACAAGCCTTGATTTAAACTGATCAAACCAGACACCTGCCTATGCAAAGTAATATGACTTATATCAGCATCATGAGAAAAAGACAAGCTTTGAAGTGAGAAAATATTAATCTGGGACCGTGATGTGTAAGTTCTTATACCTGAGCACTTGCATACTGTAAAAAACCTTCATTTCACTTAAACAACAGTGCTAAAATGTACTTCAACTGAACAGCAGAAAAGACATTCTCTGAAGCAAATTATGTATTTTTTTTTCCTATTTCTTTCCTCCCCAAGAAACTGTTTTCATGTCCCTGCAAGTGTTCTGGAGAGTAACCAGTCTCAGCTATACAGGAGGGTGGCTGGGGAGACGTGCAGGGGGAAGAAGAGGAAGGGTGTCACTGTTAAGCAAATAATTTTCCAATAATCTTCCCCGCAGTGTGAGTTTTCCACCTGGGAGGTCAAACATGAGGGTCAATATTTTCTGCTCTGGGTCTCTACACTAAACAAACAACGAGTTTTCAAAGGGTTTGTGCAACCCCACTCCCAACTCTGCAGGAGGGAACTGCAGGTGCTTGTTTTGAAAGCCACGGTATTTTTATTTTAGACTAAAATCCATGTAGGCACCTATCGTTTTCACAGCTACAAACTGTAAGCCTTCTAGACTCTCCATGTCTGTTAGCTGCTCTTCCCTACTCTCCAAAAGCTGAAGGGTGAAAGGTAGCAAAGTCTATTATAACAGGCATAATAAATAGTGATACAATGAAGAATGCAAAAAAAACACCCCTCCCGAAAATCAAGCTCATCCACAAATTTTAGCATAATCTGCTTGTGTTAAATCTCTAACTATGATCTGTCTTGCAAGAACTCATGAAAGTTTACCAACTTCAGCACATAATCTACTGTCAAAGCCTCAAAAACACCACAAACCCTGTAAAAAGCATATTACTTGCCACTCTTGAGTGATAGGGCACAGTTTTGTAAGATTGATTTAGTTAAACATTTACTTAATTTCCAATCCATGAGTTGTGATAGGCCCCAGGCCCATCTTACCCATCTGAGAAATCGATCTCTTTTCTACTTGTTACAGAGAATTTAATACGGTGACATTTATGAGTTCCTCCAGCAGTAGCTCATAAGATCAGGCTATCCAAGTATTTCACCATAAATAACATTCAGAGGAAGTTTTAACCCATTACACTGAGAGATCAAATTTAAGCTGCCTGGCTTTGGTTGCTTGTTGATGCTGTGTTTTGGGTTTTTTTTAAATAAAGAATTTTATTTATCTCCATAAGCTTTTTGCCTTGAACATCGCATTTAAGAGACACATTCACTTTACTACTGCAAGATGTGGTCTCGTTATTACTAACAGCAAAATTTACTGGAGTCAACACTCCGTATCAGGAATTAGATACTATACAGGCATCTTAGCCCCCGAGTATTAGATGGACTTGGACCCTCCGCAAAGGCAAACCAGCACTCCAGATCCAAAGAGGCAATGGAGAGCAAAGCATGACTCTGCCCTGAGTCAGCTCAGATCCTGCAGTCTTATTAATTTGGACTCTACACCACAGAAATTGGGCTCTCCTAGTCTTGAGCTGATCCTGGAAGCTGCACAGCCACATTCGCAGAGCCTAGGCCAGGGGATTAGGTCCTGCCAGCACCAAGCTGGCTCCACATGAAGCCATTTGCACATGCCGGATGGCTTACTTGTAAACCAGGACAAAGCCACCCACAGGTAACTAAGGGCTGACTAACTTGGACAGAGTAGAGCTGGCTCTTAACTCACTCATGACTAAAACATCACATTCAATTCCACAGTAATTGTAGCAAATGGACCAAACAGTTCATTAGTGTGAACTCACCTTGGACTTGACCCGGAGACAAGTGACTGTTTTTCCTGGCATTTATTGCCAGCACATCCTCACTAAACTGCTCAGTCAACAAGTGTCCAGCTGCTGTACCTGTGTTGGCAGGACACCTGCCTCGTTTCTTATGTTTCTTCCTCCACATGTCCTCCTCGTCCTTTTCATCAGAACCAGAAGACTTCTGCAGAGCTGCACGGTGTCTCAGGCTGTTCGATACTCTCCCACCCAGGGCACCACTCATATTTAACAAGTCAGCTGCAGCTCCACGCTGATGTACATAATAGTCTTCCTCCACCTCCAACTCTCCTTCTGGGCTAACAAAGGCATTTTTTTTATGAGGACCTCTGTTCAGAGTGGTTTGGGGTTTATCATTCTCAAATCCTCCAGGCATGGGCTGTTCCAGGTGAGATGTTCTGACCGGTGAATAGCTGTGCACGTTCAACCCGTTCCTGACTGGATTATCCTTCACCAGGCCTCTCCTCAGGGGCGGGTCCAGATCCGAGCTGGGATCATTGGAGGTGCTCTCTTCGAGCTGCATCTTCTGTGCAATGTGATTCAAATAGGATCGGAATCGGCCGCTGTGGTGCTTTTGCACAAGCCTCGCGTAAGCGTTCTTCTGGGGAGCAGCGGGCTTGCTCAATCCCTCTTTGGCACCTTGGGCAGAAGCAGTATTTCTCACATACCCCAGATGATCCATAGTGCAGTAAAAGGCCCAAACTTCAAAGAGTTATAAATAGACACAGGGGAAAAAAGGGTTATTTTCTTGAAACGAAGTGTCAAATAATTGATTACGCTAAAAGACACAAAAATGTACTAAATGAGAATGTATTGACCTTTACAGAAATTCTGGGTTGGTAAGTCACTCCGCTGGGGGGAAGGGGTTTCACGATGTACTCAACATCTGCCCTGCACCAAATCCCCATCAGTGACCTAGGAGGGACCACGGCCCATAAGCCGTACCTGCCCGTATGCCACACAAAACGGGGATTTTTGTCCCGAGGCTGACACCCCAAATATAAGGGATTCCTTTAATCCGCCATTCCTTGCC